ATATCATCAAATAATTCAGATTAAAGTTAAACTTTATATTAAATAATATTTCCATCATTATGTTGTTATTTTGTCTTTGTATTAAATATATAATGAATATTCTCCTCAGTCAGTCCAGGTGCGAACACACCTGTCTCGGTACCGGTCTCGGTACCGGTCTTACCTCCGGAACGGTTTCCCCATGCTCCGGTCCTCCCCCGGGCCCTGCCGGCCTCCCGCTGCGGGCCCCGCTGCTCCCCTGCCGGGCCGCTGCTTCAGGTCCGGGTCGCTGTCCAGCAGAGTGGTCCCGCTGTCCTGCTCCACAGTCAGCGAGTTGTTCCGCTTTCGCATCACTGAAAACGTTAAATGACAACAGAAACAAACGTTAACCGGAGGACCACCGACTACCGGGGCCTGTCGGCGGGGAGGAGGCCGTTATGTGGCCGGAGATGGAGCGCTGAGAGCCGGAGAGGACGGAGCAGAGTCCCCGCTGTGTCTGCACTGAGAGCCGCAGACAACTGCCGCAGCCAATCACAGGACAGCAACACCACCACGTGGTCGCGCTGTGCTGCGTCCACGACCTCTGGGGAGCGTCGGAGCAAAGAGAACCAAAACAAAAACCGGTTCACGGAAATCGGACAGAAACTTAAGTAGTGCATGATGCCTTCAAGTGCACCTCGTTCTCTTACAAGCTGGCGGGTTTGGGCAAAATAACAGAACGAAATGTCTGATTTAACTGATACAAAGATTAAATAACAAACGTTTACTGTTTGACCTCATTAAAGTTACAGTAGTTGTTCCTGAAGTCAACACACAACTGCCACTATATATTTACCATTTCAGAGCCACTCTCGTTTCCCAGGTCACCTGAATGCAGCACGAGAGGAAGTTAGCAGCTAAGCTAAAGAGCTTAAAGTAAAAGCGGCTCAAACAAGCTTCAGTATAAAGTTGTGTACGGTTGTGTCAGGGCAGAGAGTCGGTCGCTGCGGCCCGGTGCGGCCCCCGGTGGCCCCCGGTGGCCCAATACCGGCAGTGGAAGCTGTCGGACCGGTTTATCATGTTCGCTAACCGGTCAGACAAACATTGAAGTTATGGCGGTAAACTTGTTTCCGCAGTAAAAACTGTCTCAGTAAATGAAGTTGACCCTGTTACCTGTCAGCCTGCCAAACACCGAGCGGGTTCACCTCATCGTCCATCCAATAAAGCGTTTCTAGTGTTCGGCTTCATGTTTGTCCCAACGAGGCCACCGGAGCGTCGCCTCTTCCGGTCACGTGACCACAACACGGAGCTCCGATTTTGCCGCGAAAACTGAACGGACGCGAGCAGCGAGCGTCATCAGTTCACCGGTTAAATTCAGATTATCTCATATTATCTTATATTATCTCATATTATCTTATAATAAAGATGTTCTGTGAGAAATCCGTCGAGTTGATCAGAGAACTTCACCGGATGAGCGACGGACAGCTGCCCGCTTTCAACGTGAGTCAGCAGCTGCAGAGCTGCAGAGCTGCATTCAACTATCCGTCACTTTAAGGGTTTCCCGGTTATCAAAACACACCGGCGGAGAAATGTTACCGATGGATGAAGATAGAAGAGTTAGAAACTCCCAGTCACAGTTATTCCAGTGAGAACCTGCAGACTGTCTGTCAGCACATGGAGCAAAAACAGTTAATATTCTTTAATATTTAACGCTGCCTGCTGCCGAATCATCCACCTGATGTTAATGCTACTATAAATGTGTCTGATCCTACCTGAGATTATGATAATAACATTAGAGGAAACATTAAAGTTGGGTTGAATGTCTGCAGGAGGATGGACTCCGGCAGGTTCTGCAGGAGATGGAAGCTCTTTATGAACAGAACCAGACTGATGTGTGAGTCCGGACTTTATACACTATTATTATATTATGGCAGAACTTTAATATAATTGCAGGTAAAGTTGCAACAGTGTGAGATATTAATGATGATGTGTCTGAAACAACAGGTTTATTATAGAGGAATAAAATATCACGGTTTAATGATGTACATATTATATTATTATATTCTGATATAATCAGGTGAAAGCTGCTCCTGTTACTGTATGAAGACACTGACATTATTTTATTAACCGTTGTTTAAATCTTTTACTGTTAACAGTTTAAATTCTCACTCAAAGTTTTTGGGACTGATGGATCAGCTTCTGTCTGTCTGTCTGTCTGCCTGTCTGTCTGTCTGTGTGCCTG